TAAACATTAAAGAATACTTTAAGGTCTTCTTTTGAATGAGAAAAAGACTTTGGGGGTATCTACATATAAATATTAAGTCTGACAAAGTACTTAACGTCTAATATATTGCATAGTTTATTTTGGCACTTGACAATCACCTTCCCTGAATTTTACTCAGGTCTGGGTTGTTTATATTTCACATCATTAATCAGAATCTGCAAAGTAACTAAAATAAATGTTGTGGAGTGGGCTAGACCCGTTTGAGTCCAGTTTTGGATAGTCTGCCGTGGATTAATTCCATTTCCAAGAGCTCGGCGTAACCTTGGCTCATCCAATCACAGAGCTTGAGGACTAATCACGGGGGTTTGTCAAGCAAAGCGGATGTTGTAGTCCCAAATGATAGCTGGGGATTATGGGTAGTGTAGTGTCTTCGGCCATCCTAAACTCCGAAAAAACTATTTGTTTCTCCGAATCGAAGGTTAAAAACACAAAAGCATTGTACACAATTTAAACCAATCAATATTGTGTAATTAACAAGGATAAACTGATGTTTTTTAGTGGATGAGTAATGCAGATATCACTGTGTAATCATTTGACAGAGAGGGGAATACTTCCGGTTTTATTATGAAAACGTCGAGACCGGAAAAACTGTTTTCACCCCGTGAGGGTTGACGCCAACTTTACATGGACGCTGCGGAAAGACGTAGTATATACACGTTCTCCTGGCAAGACCTTAAATCATCTTCGTAATATCTATCAAACTGTAGATCCTACACATCCACTGGACGTGGATTCTAAAAGTACAATATACACTTCTCGCTAGAAATCAAATCAAAAAGCATTTTAATGGCAAAACTATTCTACAATTTAGGATTTTCCAGAGAGGGTTATTTGTGAATATACGACCCTCCGGAGCGTTTGCAATCAACGGGAGCATGTTGTTTCTTACACGACCACTAGAGGTGCTACACTTTCAAACGTGACTATAGGTCGTAATAAGCTGCTGAACAATCGACCTATTTGGTCGTTTTTTGGAGGAGGACAGGCTGGCGACCGCTTATGTCACCTATGCCAAAAACCGGCCCTGCCTGACTCCTCCCCCAACCACTAGGTAAAGCCTTATACCTGTAGTGAGTAGTAGCACAACATTTAAATGAATCGTTTGTATGCAGTATGGTGAGCCATTTTTAACCTGTCATTTTACCTTTTTGGAGGTTCACCTGCTGTCCATCAGCATTGAAGCTAAGTATCCGTTAATGATCTCAGCTTTGACCAGCAGCAGTTTATACAAAAATGTATTGATACATTTGCTAAACACAAGTTATGTTTTTTGAAAGTTGTGTTGCTATCAACTTGGCAAGGTTTCTTATCAACGTAGCCCTCAGAAATGTGATGTATAGTGTACATTATGATACAATAATGTGTGTTCATTTATATAAGTTACCACCAAATACCTCGCCTCTGCTTAGAGTTTTTAGCACTGACATAAAACTTGCATGCTCTGTCTCTTTTCTAATGCTTTGACAAAAAATGTATTGTCTACTAAACATGCATTGAATTAACTTATTGAAAGGTTCTGTAACAAATGCATACTGAGTTGCGTTCTGTGTACAATAGTTCAGACACGAATTAATGGGTGACTGAGCAGATAAAGATCATTTAAAATACATTTCTATAAGCAACACTGTTCCACTGGGTTTACTCTCTGCTGCCTGCATGTCTCTTATCATCTGTAAACTGCAACATTCAGATAGCTGTTTGCTTTTTTTGCTTCTGACAAAAATATTTAGTATATTCAGCATCCACACTCAACACTTTTTTAATCACACTTCATAAACTGTGTTTGAGAACTTTATTTATCTTTTCACAAATGCAAATGAAACTCCATCCTGAACAGTAACCCAGTCTGCCTAAAGAATTTAAATAGATGCATGTTACTCCCCTGAAATCCATACAGAGGGATTTAATTTGCAAACCTGCAGTAACATCCATTGGACTTCTCATAAATGCACATTAAACTGCATCCTGCTAACATTATGTCTACAATTCTATATTATAGGGGAGTGACGGCTGAATACGTTAGATATTATATCATTTAGTTATTTTGAACAAACACATGGGCATTTATTCAGATTGCTGACATCTGTGTGAGACTCACCCATTAATGGACAGCACCACACTTTTACTCCCAACTACCACCTCTGTTTTAAAACTGTAAGGTCTGCAATGCAATGTAACAGGGGAGGAACAATCCGCGGGTAAAGCAGTGTGATGAGCTTCAGTCCGACCTGACAACCAGTGTCCTCGGCCGGGTGAATCTGCAGCCTCGGTGCCGGTGAGTCCCCTGTCCGGTGTGCTTTAAGCAGTGCGTCCTGTCGTCCGACAGGAGGCGTGTCTCCCCTACGGCCGGAGCGCAGCAGCAGATGCAGAAGCGGGGGAAGCGGCTCGGCTCCTCCATAGAAACAAACCAACTTCTTGTGCTGCTCCGGTGACTCTCCGTGCTCCAGCTCTACCTCGGGTAAGTCCATTCCTTTCAAACTTCACATATCTTAACATGCTTTTTCTGCCTTATGTGTGTGTTGTTTTCAGGAACTGTTATTTGGAAAAGCTGAGATTTGTACACAGCGCGCAGAAAACACCGTTACGCACCTCACAGCCAGGTGTGAAGTTTATCCGCGAGTTCATAGAAGCAAATCCGACTTTAACCAGAGGACAATAGCATACACATGTGTGAGAAATAGCCTCCGACGAGTGGTTTAATAGGCTTGGAGATGTGTGACCTCCCGCGTCTTTGGCCGCCCTCTATTTGGAGACGCTTGGCACCTTTTCGGGTTCCTCCTTCTGCCTCCTCTCCTCCTCCCCGGGCTCAAGGCTTCGCTGCTGGGGGGTTATGAGGATTGTTAAATGCCTTCAGTCAATCCCCCTTTATGAATGATCCGCAGATAACGGGGCTGGATGGGGAGCTCGCGGAGACGAGTCGCGCATTTAAATCCCACAGCTGATGAGCCCATAGCTTTAAATCAACTTTATAATCGCGCTGCGTTGCTGGGTGAAAGGACTCACCCCAGCCTGGTTTAAACCCCTTTCTTATATAGCTACTGAAGGGCATTTATTCTGCTGTTTTTCTATCTGTAAAAAGAAATCAGACCGGCGCCTATATTGTTCTCACCTGCTCACCCCGCAGACCTGCGGCTTTGTCCTCTTATTTACCAGCTTCTCCCTCTTATAATGACCTCTGTGAGTTTATAAACACTGTGCGGATTTAGGCTACTCATTGCACGCGGGAAACAATCAAATCTCAGACACGTTTTTCCATTCTTCCATCAGTCACATATTGGCTCAGGCTCAGCAATCCAACTGACTACCTCCAAAATGAGCTGCTAAAAATATATATTAACAGACGGAGTCTGCATGTTCTTCTGCATGCTGTTCCAAGTGCAACTAATACTTATAATTATCATTCTTAAATTAACATAGGCCTATTTCCTTAAAATGTTAGGCAGTCAGCCTGGGTACTTATTTGGGTGTTGCCTATAAGAAATGACTGGGTAATGTGGAGGCAGGCGGAATAGTGATAATATTTAACCTTTAGGCATTAACTGTATCATTACATGGATTGGGTCCAAACACAATGCCCCGCTGCTAATTAATGAGGCAAACGAGCGGGGGGAGCTGTCAGAAATAAATGGGAACATAAGGGGCCGCGGAGCCGCTGTCTGTGCTGCTGGAACATTAGAAGCGCACGCACGCACACACACACACACACACACACACACACACACACACACACACACACACACACACACACACACACACACACACACACACACACACACACACACACACACACACACACACACACACACACACACACACTGATTTAAATAGAGTCTCTGTCCGTGGTGCTGAAAACCCCTCAAAGCTGAGACTGGTTTAAAGCAGATTCCATCAGCTGTGGCATAGCCGTTTATTTATTTAGAGACTCTCTTAAATATCAATAACAGAACTGACCATATTTCAGGAAGACATGTCTCAATGTTTTCTAAAAACTCTGTTTATTTAATTTAGTGCAGCATGAGCTTGTCAATCTTTTTATTTGCTCCTTGTTTTAAATCAGCGTGACCTCTACAAATGCATACTCTCTATCCAGTCTAAATGTGGAAGTTTAATCAAGGAATATATAATATTTAGAAATTATGCATCAGATTAAACAACCAGAATTTGACCAGAAACTCACGCATGCACATGTGCCGACCTTGAAAATAAAACGTGCTTCTGAATATAGGCCTACAGCAAAACTAACCCATGGTTATAAAATGTTTATGGAATTTAAAGATTTGTTTGAATAACAGCTCGGAGGCCACAGAATAATCTAGAGGAACAAGTTGACCATGACAGTAACATTTCTGCGCCTTTCACAGTGCGTAATTCAACAGTCATAGAAAGGAGCGGATATGCGATCACGATAAATTGAATTAAAATGTTCGGGGCTGTCTCTGATCTAACAGGCTGTACAGGGGGACTCGCAGGAAAAAGTATGAAATAAAAAAAAGTAATAATTGAGCAGACAGAAGCGTGAAACAGAGCGGGCTGAGGCTATTCATCATGCTGAGTGTTCCCCGACAGCTCGGCTTCACATGAGTCCAAGCCTGAGTGACTCCGATCAAACAGGCGATGTTTTCACATTCATAGATCGGCTCGTACACGTCCGTGCACGGGCGGACAGTAACGGTCATTGGACCGGAACGAAGGGGAAAATCAGTGCACGACATTGGGAAAAGAGGGGAAAGGGAGCGGGGGATAGTGCATGAGCTGGTTTTCGGCTGGTGATATTGTGGTCAGCAGCAGGAACATGCCCGGTCCCCCCTGTGCGCTCCCCCACCGGTGCGACGTCAGAGGAGTGTGTGCGGCAGTGCAGCAGGAGGAGCTCACACACACCGCCGCTCCGCTCTCACACACTCTCGCGCTGGATCTCACCCCCTCTCCAATCTCTGTCTTTCAGTAGATGGATTTCTTCAAGCTCTGCCCTGCCTAACATGGACGCCCAGCCACCTCCGCCGCCACCCCCTCCTCCATCCCCATCAGCTGAGTCGGAGGGCTGCTTCTCCTTGGCGCAGTGAGCTGGACACGCAGTGCTGTTTTTCTGCTGAATGGATGTTAGGGAGAGCGTTACTCTGCCCGCCGGTGGTGCCCAGCCGCCCTGCTTCACGTTAGAGAGAAAACACTTCTGGGGAATATACGGATTCAGGGAATAAAGCTCCCGCGCGACTCAGCAGCACCATGAAGACCACCTCCCTGCTCATCCTCACTGCGAGGGTCCGGAGCTCCGTCAGGCTGCTGCTGCTGCTGCACTCTGTGGGATTTTCTCATGGGATGCCACACGTCTTGAGATTTGGTGAGCTGCTTTTTTCTTCTCCTCTGTAAAAGTTTGCGTTTTTATTCCCATGAAGCTTGTTGCTCTCCCCCGACCTGTTGGAGACTCTTCCTCTATGTCCTCACGTGTGGGACACTTGCACTTCGGACTCTTTATTTGCTCTGTAACAATGCATTTAAGGAGCAATAGCGCAAGAGTCCAAAGAGTTAGTACACACATGTGTTGTGAAAAGCTGAGTGGATGATACTAAAGTGACCTGTAACTTGTTGCTGTTTGGAAAGTTCCAAATATCAATGCTCGTGTGTGTACAGTGTCAGAGTCTTGTGACCTAACATGGGTGTGTGTTAGTGTGTGTATTGTGGGTGGGTGTATGTGCAGTTATTCAATTATTTATTCATATAGGATAGCTAATCTAAATGTTGAAGTGGTGTGTCCATAAGAATGTAAGAAGAAAAAACAAAGAGACACTTTTAATGTTCTTTTTTCAGTAGATTTACTTTTATAAAAAATATATTGTATTGTCAGAAGTATGCTATAATGGAACTTTTTACATGACCCTTAAACCATAATTCCCCCCTTTATTTGTTGCTATAAAGTAGGAAAAATATATCTTATAATATCTAAATACAATGTGTTTGCTCCAACACATTGTAACGATATGACGCTTACAGGAAGCATTCCCCACCAGCTCCACACTTTAGCTGCGTCATTTTATCAAAGAGAAACATCTAGATGTGTTTTCATTTCATACACAAATGAAGGTATGTGGGTTTGAATAATATTGTCAACATTTGTGCAGCTGGGGGCAGCAGTCAGAGGTGAAAGCCTGCAGATCACCCTGAACAGAACAGCAGAAAGAAGAGAATAACTACATTATTGTTAGATTTAATTTATCCTAAAAAGTCATGTAATTGAACCGTACTCACAAACCCTCACTGCAATCACAAAATAAATGTATTAACTGATGTATTAACATTGACAGTTAGGTTGATTAATCCGACTAGTTTTGCATGGATTGGAAGAAACAGCGCTCATCCTACAGTATCTAGAGGAATATCCTCAGTAATTAAATACACATTTCTTTAATTCATGAATGCAGATTAATGAGGTGCACATTGATTGTTCTGCTCATGGAGCTGTAGGGTCTAAATCAGAGTGGAGATGATAGAAAGGTGAATCCTGTGATCCTGCAGGGCGTTAGCAGTCTCTCCACATCATGGAGACTGACTCCAGATCAGTCATTGTGTCCATATGTAGAGGGGACAGTGTATGTATCCTATTACTTCATCAGGTCTTTACCGTTAGTCTGTTAAATAGGCCTGCGTTTCAACACACTAGAAGGACGGTGCTGAACAGTTACATCCTTAATCTTTCTGTCGGACATTTCCTCTCTTCAGTAGCATTTCCTGAAATCACCTCAGATCTGAAAAGATCTGAGGTGATTTCAGTTTGAATTGTGAAAACATTCAGCAGGAGGAAACAGTTTTGATTGAACTGTAATGAGAAACACGGATCAGAATATAAATAAATCAGAATATTGAAAGTGCACTCCAGTTTAGTATTGCACTTTAACAAATGAGGGGTAACGTTTGAGAGACAAATGAAACCACACATGCTTGAAATCTGAGCTACAGAGGCAGATTTGTTGATACTTGTATGAGTCAAGCTGCAAAACCCTGAATCTACATTTCCCATGATGCAACTCAATTGTGGCTTACACTTGTCCCTTCCAGCCTTGGTAAATGCCAATGTTTTTCAAACTCCACACCCCCATTTTAACACTCAAAGATGTTTCAAAATGCAAATAAATGATGGATGGTATTGAATGCTATAATCAGGACACAGCATGGCCCTCACAATATTAGCTACATGTTACAGTTACACGTTTACTGCACGTCCACTTCCACTGACAAAGCTGCTTTATCTCTGCCAATTTAATTTGAACTTCCCAAATGGGATTTCCTCTGCTTCTGGAGCAGCTTTGACTCTGAGAAATGGCCTAAAAAGGAGCTTGTAATATAGCAATAATCTCAACATTAACATCCGGGTGTCTTTTCACCATTTAGCCACTCTTCAAAATACTGTCAGAGCCTGCAAATGCAAATGGTTGAACTCGTTCAGCCGTTTGAAGAATTATAGTGCAAGAGTGATGGATGGCTGAATTGGATTTCCATTTAGAAATTCCAGCAGAAGAAAAACAGCTCAGAGGAAGAATGCCAAAGCTGTTGTTTTCAATCAATCTGACCAGATCCTGTGATAAAAAACGATTTTATAGACTCTAATTGTGAAAGAGCTTCACAGCACATACACTGTATATGGTGACGATTGTATTTTAAACAGTTGTGCTGGCATTAAGGACATTAAAGCAGGGGAAGAGCTCACATGGTGTGATTGTTCAGCAGTTTGAGAGAAAGAGGCTCATATATATGCTAAAAACCTCTGATGATAGAGAGCACATCACTGAATCTCCATTAAAGAGAAAGCTGGATACAGACGACCTGCCGCTCTGTAACTCTGACTGCTCTGTTTCTGAGGATGTGTTGCAGACAGGTGAGGTCAGGAAATTGGATAACTCGTGTGAAGGAGAAGCCACATTCAGGGTCAGAATATATTTCTCACACTGGAAAGCACATGCACTTTAGAAAAGTAGCATTATCAAAGAAGTTGAGGTGAAGGAACCAACAGACGGTACGGAAAGTCATTGATTTGATTCAACATCATTGCCAGGGAGTCATGGTTATTCCACGAGTTTCCTCACATCTCATCGAAGCAATTTTGTCAGCAAGCAATCAGGTGTGTTCCCCGCGGGTCGGCATTAGTGTGAAGGTCAGCATCTAATGGGGAGGGTGGACTAAATGTTGCAGGTCGAAGGCAGAAAAACCCTCTTTAGAAAAGAACTCTCTGTCAATAACTGAACAGAAAAGTTGACATTATCATCCCGGCTCTACCCCCCCCCCCCTCACAGATGAATAGTAAAGAAGGGGATTTGCAGGGAAATCTGCGCTGCGTGGAAACAATGGGTGGCTAAGCGGATCATTGTGCAATGGAGAGCATTAGGTATGAAATGGGAGGTGATAATCACAGCATCCTTCAGGGAACAAGCTCATTTCCTTATTTGCTTTATCAATGTAGCTGAAGGCGTTTTGTGAAGAGACTGCTACTGTAGGAGATGTCACTGATTAGGTGACACAAATGTGTATTAATCCACAACTAAATATAGTCCCTAATAAATGCATAATTTCAACCTCATTTAGTGATGTTACCAATAACTTTAAAGCTTTATTTGAAGAGGACCTATTATTCTCATGTTCAGGTTCATATCAGTATGTAGTGTCTCTACTTTAAAGAGTCCTCTCCTGCTGATGTTCAGGTGTATATCAGTATGTAGTGTCTCTACTTTAAAGAGTCCTCTCCTGCTGATGTTCAGGTGTATATCAGTATGTAGTGTCTCTACTTTAAAGAGTCCTCTCCTGCTGATGTTCAGGTGTATATCAGTATGTAGTGTCTCTACTTTAAAGAGTCCTCTCCTGCTGATGTTCAGGTGTATATCAGTATGTAGTGTCTCTACTTTAAAGAGTCCTCTCCTGCTGATGTTCAGGTGTATATCAGTATGTAGTGTCTCTACTTTAAAGAGTCCTCTCCTGCTGATGTTCATATCAGTATGTAGTGTCTCTACTTTAAAGAGTCCTCTCCTGCTGATGTTCAGGTGTATATCAGTATGTAGTGTCTCTACTTTAAAGAGTCCTCTCCTGATGATGTTCAGGTTCATATCAGTATGTAGTGTCTCTACTTTAAAGAGTCCTCTCCTGCTGATGTTCAGGTGTATATCAGTATGTAGTGTCTCTACTTTAAAGAGTCCTCTCCTGCTGATGTTCAGGTGTATATCAGTATGTAGTGTCTCTACTTTAAAGAGTCCTCTCCTGCTGATGTTCAGGTGTATATCAGTATGTAGTGTCTCTACTTTAAAGAGTCCTCTCCTGCTGATGTTCAGGTTCATATCAGTATGTAGTGTCTCTACTTTAAAGAGTCCTCTCCTGCTGATGTTCAGGTGTATATCAGTATGTAGTGTCTCTACTTTAAAGAGTCCTCTCCTGCTGATGTTCAGGTGTATATCAGTATGTAGTGTCTCTACTGGGACATGTCTCCATGTTTTAATGTTCAAAAAGCTCTTTATTGTTCTCATACAGCCTGTGCTGCAGCACCTCTTTTCACCCTCTGTCTGAAACCAGAGCCCAGTCTGCTCTGATTGGTTAGCTGGCCGGCTCTGTTGTGATTGGTCAACCACTTAGAGATGTCCCGCACCTTAGCCTATCAGATACAATGTGTTTGAGAAGGGATGCACTGAAAAATGTGAAACGTTGACGGTGATTAAATGTATTATATCAACCGATTTCACATAACTGTATTAGGTCAGTTGAAATATCAAATTTGAATAAAAACAATATTGGGTTCAAACTTAACATTATATACAGTTATGTGAAATGTGTTGACATAATACATTTCATTAAAGTCAACGGTTCACATTTTTCAGTGCATCCCTTCTCCAACACATTGTACCTGATAGGCAATGATTAGGTTTTTTCATTGTATCATTATGTTACTGAGTCCAATGAAGGCGTTTCAGGGCGGTGGGGAAGCTAGAAACTACCGGCTAATTGGTGGTGTTGTTCTTTACATGGGAAAGTAAAAGAGAGAAACAAATCAGCCTTGAACAGAGTCAAATCCATACTTCACTCCTAATGAAAAATGGCCTTCTTAAACATTCTGTCACTACTTTCCTAAACAACCTGTATGGTCTAACTGCCAGTCAGTTCTAATTTCTGCACTTCACAATGTTGTTTAGTGCAGCAAGTAGGGTGTCCTTTATGTTGTAAGGCTGACATTTTGGGCTTGGAGGTCAGTTGATGGATAGGCATGTTTTGCACCTGATTTGAATGCCTGAAGACTGACGTGTTTCTCCTGTCTCAGACCTTTACCACACAATATTGATGTATATTAGGCTAATAGTTGAATTTGAGATA